AAACATCAAAGATCCAAAATAAACAAGCTCTATTTTCCGTTTAAACCGGACCTTATATTTCTTTCCCCATGTATAGAACATCATGATTTATACATATGTATATTCTGTATTACTGTTGTTGTCGTAGCGGCAGAATTCTGCCGAGCTGACAATGTCCTTGGCCGGATAAAGATCAAAAAATCCTATGTAAAATATGAGGCTAAAGGAAAATTAATAAGGAATGGTTTAAATCGAAAATAGAGAGCTTCTGGTTAAGGAAAAAACATCTACTTGAGAAATAACGGACCCCTAATTATATATATATATATATGCACATATGCATATGCATTCCTCCGTTTCAACGTAAATATTTACAGAGTATGGTTCGCCTGCTGAGTTTGTTGTACGACCCAACATTAAGCAATCCAATTTAATTAAGATTCGTGTACTCAACCAACAAACCGGAGAAATTTGGGAGAAACGTGTACCGCGCATGATTACAGTACAAACCTTACAGGGTCTAGTTGCGAAACATTTTCAGACGATAATGAACGCCAATGGCAGTTTACCGCAGCTTACATATATTGATGCAAAATATCCCGAATTAATGGTGCCGATGGACAATAGCGCTAAAACATTAGATTTCTACAGTGTTCAGGATGGAGACACAGTTATTGTGAAATAGTAATGTAATTTCAATAACTTGCATATTAATCGAATTATTTAAAATTATACATTGTTATTTTCTTTTAAACATAATTGAAGTGCAAAATTTCTTTGTATAAGTGTATTATTAACAACTTAATGGAACTGATTTTCAATTTCCCTTTTTTACATATTATTTTTATTTGATAATTATAAATTATTTGGCCTTTTTAAAGCATAACTGTTTGCTACAAAACAATATTGTTTCAATGCACCCATAATATAATATTATTTGAGAGATAAAATTAAACTCGGTATAATTTCTAGAACCGAACGAATGTAGAAAGTATGAATAAGGTGCGAATAAACGCAGTTTGATAAAAAATAATTAATAATATTATTGGCGAAATTTCAATCCGGTTTGGCCACGGTAATTGTAGAGTGAGTCATTTTTCTAGTTTCGATTATTTATATGCGTAATGTACGACTTCCGTTTGCTTTGAAAACTCGGATTGGAGAGTTTTTATTGAAAGCAATTAAATTTTGACATTGTTGTCTGTCATTCTGCTGTAGACATTTCCCAAAACGAACAAATATGTTGATATTTATCAACGATTGATATTTGAAAAAATCGACGGAAATAATTAAACAATTTCACATCAAACATTTAATTTAAAATACATTATATGCTTTGAATTAACCCTGAAATATTTCGTTTTACTCTGCAACAGCATTTATTGTGAACTATCGTTTTTCGTAGACTTTTGTAAAATGTCAGTGTAAAAGCGATAAAGTCTCCAACGAATTAGTTTTACTGCAACATTAACAAGTTTTTGTGTGAAGAAAAGCTTCGTTTTGTTATTTTATAAATATTGGCATTATTATTTAATAGATATACAATTACCGTACAAATCAAGTTGTTAATAAATTTCAATTTGTTTAAATGTGACCGTAACACAGTCATTATCGAAACTAAAAACATGATATAGTTGCATGTACTGTAGTTGCAACGTAGTTGTTTAATCGAAGTTATTAACATATGCAAGAGACAACAATCGGAAGCAAAAAAGCATAACTTGACAGTTTTTGTGTGTAAAATTGGAAATAAAACTAGTAGTATAAAAATAAAAATAACAGGCTAAACGAAAAACAGAATGTCTGAATCTTATGGTATGTTATTTGGCATTGAATTACTAATTGTGAAGTTCATACGTATACTTGAATAAAGTATCTGTGTGTGTTGTATATATAAATAAATAAGTATTTAAAATGGTTAATTTACTTGTGTTGCAGATTATCTTTTCAAATTCTTAATAATTGGCAGTGCAGGAAGTGGCAAAAGCTGTTTGCTACATCACTTCATCGAGAATAAGTGTAAGTTTTGCCAATGCTTCGCAGGTGTTTTCCAATATAAAACTGAAATGTGCGAAGTAACATTAGTATGAATAATTACTTGCAATTATCCACTGTGCATGTATATATGTATGCATCTATGTATGCGCTTTTGCAGGTATACAAACATATATGTTAGCATTACGTATTTTGGAAAACGCAAGTGATGCATATTTTCGTTTAAATTTACATATACATATGAATATATGATATTTTGTAGAAAGTTGCTAAACATACTACTAATTCCAGTTAAAGATGACAGCTCCCATACGATTGGTGTGGAATTTGGTTCACGTATTGTGAATGTTGGTGGTAAATCAGTAAAGCTGCAAATATGGGATACAGCGGGACAAGAACGTTTTCGATCGGTAACACGTTCGTACTATCGTGGTGCCGCTGGAGCTCTGCTGGTGTATGATACAACATCGCGCGATTCCTTTAATGCTCTCAGCAATTGGTTGAACGATGCACGCACCTTAGCCAGTCCGAATATCGTTATACTTTTGGTGGGTAATAAAAAAGACTTGGAAGATGAGCGAGATGTTACATTCTTGGAAGCAAGCACTTTTGCACAAGAGAATGGTAAAAAACCTAATATATTTAAACGTCGTAATATATATATTAATATTGTTTGATTTACAGAATTAATATTCCTTGAGACAAGCGCTAAAACGGGAGAAAATGTTGAAGAGGCTTTTTTGAAATGTTCTAAAACTATATTAGCAAAGATCGAAAGTGGTGAATTAGACCCTGAACGTATAGGCAGTGGCATTCAATATGGTGGTGCCGCGCTACGAAATCTTCAAACAAGACAGCGAAGCATTAGTAAACCAGACTGTGGTTGTCGTGTCTAATTAGGTGGCGCAGCACGTCGTATATATATTTCTATAATCTCATATTAAAACTTTATTATATGTAGAGTATGTAAAAGTTAAAAAAAAAATGGGAAAAGCGGATCTGATATGGCATCAGGCATACGCAATGTAGACATTGGGTGTAGTTATATATAATTAATAATTAGTTTAAGCAAAAAGTATAAAAAAATATCGGATTATATAAATGCTCATTGTTGTAATTTCGATTGTGGTATATTTTTTATATTTTAATAATGAAATTAACATTCATTCCTTATTTGAAAAGTGCGTTACTTGCCTGTTTTCAAAATTTTTACAAAATTCGATTGCAATGATTACCGGATTCATTAAAAATTGTGTGTCCTGCGACAATGCTTGGTTTTAAATATTAATTTGTAATGATATTTTACACATTATTCGCATATATAATTGTATAATGTTAAGGAAATAGTTAATTAAGTAATCTTTTTTTGTAAATACAACAAATTATACAAAATCTTCATGAATAAACGAAACTAAAATCATGACCAAACCTTAATACTAATACAAGTAACCATTCATAATTTATGTAGCTTCTCAGACCATAATTACTTCTTTGAGATTGATGTTGTCGAGATCATACCGATTATTAATGTCGTTTGCTAATCCTCAACTGAATGATAATAACTCACTTTTCGATTTTAAAAATAGTTTGTATATATTTTAAAAGAGGTGTAAATGTGTGCAAAGCGGTACATATTAAAATTGTACAAATACTGTATTTAACTAAAAAATGTTTGCAAGTTAGTCAGTTTTTTTAACATCTCCATTTGTGTGTCCAGTGTAATTTTGATAACAATTCACCATATCTTTCGCCGTATAGCTGTAGAGCTTCTTACGACTTCCGGAGAAATTCTATAAAAAATCATGTGTTTATTAGTACTTTGAAGTATTTATATTTCTAGCATACATTTAAATCACCGGCAATCAACGCCCATAGGTACACAAAAGCAGCAGGTAAAACGCTGACAATGATGGCGAATTCGAAATTGGTGAACGTATTAAACATTTTCTTTCCGTAATAATTATATGTAAAAATTTGTCAGCACTACGTGATTTTTTGTACTTTTCTCTATGTCAATTCCATTAGTACTTTTGTATGTAGTTGATTTTAAGGGGAAGGGAAGATTAAATTTTAAGAAAAACAAATGTGTCACCTCTCAGCTGTTTGCTATAAAAATGATAGGTCACGATAGTAAAGGATATTTGATACGCAAAACAAAACAAATATCACATATAAAATAACAATTAATTTTGTACCTGTCTTTCAAAATAAAAAAGTATGTGTCAATGTTGTAAAAGTTCTACAGAATAGTTTAAACTAAACAAAATGATTATTTTCATACCAAAGTTTTAGTATTATTTTTAATAATATTGTCACCGTTCACAACACTAAAATTCACAATTGCTGCCAATCATTTTATCGATGACATTACGTCTTAAGTCTGCTCAGTCAAAGATTTTCGTGATCTAAATCTTATAGTTCTTTTTGGCTTGTGCAAATCCAATTTTAACAAAAATGAGAATCCCATTTGGCAAAAAGCATGCTGAAATCGCCACTTCCTTGTAAGTTTTTAATGAGTCGTTTTATCTATGCAATTTCAAAGTTTGCCTTACATTTTTGTGCAGCAAGCAAGATTTGACTAAACATTGCATAATCAATAAGCGAATATCAGTTTAATAAAATAGCAAATAATTTTTGTAAAAAGCAATAAATAATAGTTCTAATATTACTTTTTCAGCGTGTCATCGGCGGCAGGATTTGGTGGCGCAGCGGGGCTTGCTTTACTCTACCTGACAGATTGGAAATTGGTGCTGCAGTACATGCCAATCTACAACACGAAATTTGACAAATCCGAATAAACTGTTTGTTGCGTTTGGGAGAACATTAACATTTTTCGCTCTATCCTTATGTTGTTCATAAATCTAAAGTAACTTATATTATACACTTAATGTGTTCGAAAATAAAGTAGTGTGGAAGTTTTAGTGAAGTACAGCACATTTGCTTTGTTTGCTTAATACGTTTATGTACTGCGTGAAATTAAAGTAAATGTTTATAAAAATAAGGCCGGAAGTATAAGCCTTTGTTGTTGTCTATAAACGCTGGATTTAGGCGCAAATTAAGGGTTCTGTTACAATTACACACAATTGGTTTTTAAAAACTAGAAAATATGCGACGGTCAAAACCTAAGGAACGCTCATGCTTATGATTTGAGACAAATTTTCTCGAGATAATATTACTTATCGATGAGGGAAACTTCTGCTATAATACTTGATTAGGGAATATTAAGTTTAGCAATATGTTTGTAACAACCAAAAGGGAAGGGTGAAGACGGCGAAGGAAACCGTTAAAACAACAACAACAATCGGCGAAGACCCTATAAATGATATAAATAATATTAATGATCAACGTAATGCACTGAGTAGACTTAACCACTTTTCTGTGTTTTTGTGATATCGATCTGAAGCCCGTTTCTTCACAAGATGTTGCTGATTTGTTGCAACAGTCATTATCGGAAGAAGTTTCATAACAGTCGGTTCTAAGAATCCGAAACGGACCTGTATTTTTAAACGATCAAAGATTGTTAAATTGGCACCATTCCTGGATATTACTTCAGGAATGTTTTTTGCCGCTTCAACAACAACGATATACATATATCAGCAGATCAGATTCAAGTCTCCATATGCAAATTTTTATATAAAGTTTTTTTTGTTCTACAGTTCTAGGAATACTATAGAGAAGACAAAGCTTGTACAAATGAAACAACGTTGTTTGTTAGTAAATCTTTTATTTTCCTACACAAGGAAAATCGATAATAAAAACTCTAATTAACTATTTTACTTAAAAGTCGTACTTAAGCTTATACGTGGTGTAAAAACATTTATATTCGTATATGTATATACACAAGTATGTATTATGAATGTATGTATTAGTTTGTATACAATTACATAGTAAAAAAGTATAAAAAATGGCAGGATACTTTCTGATTCGAGAGTGTTACATATTTAAAGTACAAAACGCTTTGTTCACATTGTATTACGCGTTACATGCTTTTTGATTAAACAAGTTCCAGCGGATCTACGACTTTGCCTTTTCAAATTATTGTATCAAAACTGCAGTAAATTGCGTAAAAGGTCACTCGTTTAAAAATATTTAACTCACATTTTGTTCAATTTTTGCTTATTTCTAACGAAAATTGTGCAAATTCAATATCAATGTGGACTAACATAACCTAACATTTAATAAATGTACTTTTTTATATGTATGTACGATGTGTTTCAAAAATATGCGTATTTAGTTAGTTATTCTAATCAGATTCATTAGTTGCTTATGCATGTAATATATAATTGTTTATAAGCTATTTAACTGGCTTTTTTTCGGTTTCAAGAAAAGTACTTTGTTTACAATTATTGATACAAAAATAATATATGTATGAAAATAACTTAGTAGCAAAACATTTATTTAGTTAATTAATTCGCCATCATACTTCAATTACCTCCACTATAAAAAAAAAAAAAAAAAAAAAATACTTCGCTCCATTGACTAAAAATCAACAACTTCAAGAGAACGCGTGTATGTCTTTTACAAACAGAAAATTAGAAATTATTATAATAAGCTCAACTTCTCAGTCAGTCACCTTATATTTATATATGCTTGTATTTTTGATTGTATCCAATGTGTGTAGCTAAAGCTATAATAATTAACTTTCAAAAAGTTTAAAGAATAATTTGTTTAACAAAATCTAAAACTATAAAAAAAACTGTGGTCGTCGACCAGCGATTAACTACAAATTTTTGGAAGAAATTTAACTAAAATATATATGTAAACAATTTCGATGCTTCATTAATGCAATTAATATTTTTGCGATATAGCTATAAACTAACTGGTGTGGAATAAGGAAAAAATTAAAATAAAAAAAAGTAAACAAAATTACTGCTATCGATTATTACATATCGAGTAAAGAACTTCGCATAACATTGTGGGTGTTAACTTTGAACTTTCGAAAACACCATAATTGCTTATTAACTTTCTGTACAACAATTTACCGAAAAATAAACTTAGTAACATTTCGATTCTAACACTACTAATGCGAATAACCTTGACTTTAATCTTAACTTTGACAAACTTCCACTCTAATTGGTTTCCCATTTTACTTTTGCTAATTTATATGTCCGGCTCAACGAATGATGCTGGAAACAGACCCGTCTTATTAGTGCGCGCATGCGTGCCCTTATACCAACCATTTTTTTGACGACGTTGCACATAAATTATATCGCCTACTTGTAATTCCAGCTCTATTTCACTATTAGGTGGATATGGAACTACACATCTGAAACGGCTGCAAAAATGTATACATTATATATTTGTAAATAAAAACAGCAACAACAAGCAGTTCTATATACCTTTCACGTGAGCACTGTGTTGACTTGGTGGTCGCGCTTGCTGCCACAGCGGCTGCTGTTATATTGCATGGCGCAAGCAATGCGTTCTGCCCACTATTGCTACCGCTGACCGTGCCATAATCGTTGTTGGAACTAGATAAAGCGGCTGCTGCATCTAAACTGTGCGATTTGCGGTGATTTGCGGTAATTATTTGTTGTTGTTCGCCAACATTTTTAGGTGTATTAGAAAGCAATTGTTGCTGTTGTTGTTGTGGAATCGATGAATTGTAAATGCTACGCAAGGTAGCATTATCCATAGATTGTCGCGCGCTGTAAGCAAAAGCAAAAACAATAAATAAATAAAATGAATAAATATAACAATAGTTCTTTACTTTTGCAAGTGTGGACGTTCTTTAGGTCCTCTCAACTGCTGTGATCCATAACCCACACTTTGTGCTGCGATTTGTTGCATTTGTGCTTGTTGTTGTTGTTTTGGGGTTTTGTGCATATTTTCTTGAATTTGTGCCATTGTAGATGTATTTCCAGCAGGTGTAGCGAGCGCTGCTGGGTCATTCGGTAGATTCTGCAACAATTGGCTAGGGCAGGAGCCAGAGCTGTGTCGAAAATTATATTAATTATTATTTTTTTTTATTAACATTCAATTTTATTTGGAATCCGTCTTATTGTTCTAATGTCAATAATTAAATTTGTTGACGAAAACAATGATGTTGAAGTATAATGACAACTTACCGCACATGTACTGGATGCAATTGTGCGTGCGTATTAGCTGATGCAAAATGTGGATTGTTTTTCTGTGCGTTGCATATAGAATTTTTGCTCATATTATGAATGGAGGAATCATCAATGGTAGTTGTAGGTGACGAGTCATGTGCGGATTGTGAGTGCGGACTTTTCTGTTGCTGACGTGCGATTGCACTACTCGGAGATTTCGAACGTGATTTGATGTGCGCCAAGCGCTTCATTAACTGCACCGCACTGGATGTGGTGGAGGAAGAAGCTGTTGGCGTGGCTGTATTTGGCAAATTTTCTTTTTGCTTGCCACTATCCTTCTCCTTGACGTTTTGCTCTTTTGTGGTATCATGCGCCTTACTATAGCGATTGAAAAACGCCTCGACCGTATGACCGAGCGGTTTTGTCCAAACCGACGAGACTGGCAATGCGCTGCTTACTTGACGCGGTGGCAAATCAGGCGGTTGATGCAGACTATGTATTCGCTGTGTTGTTGAAGTTACAGCAGGCGGTGACTGAACAATTGGCACAAGATTTGAGCCGGGTTTTATAGTGGTTTGATTGAGATGCGGTGAGCTCTGCAGCGGCACATACTTCCATTGATGCATCAGTTGTTGTTGATCGCGGCTTCGTAGTGGCGTCACATAGTTACCCGGAAAAACGCCGGTAATATCTTGCCAGTTCTTACCCTTGAACCAACCATCCAGACAGCGCTCGATTACGATGTAAACACAACCTGAAATAGAAAAAGTGTTGAAAATAAGTAAAAAGGAAGTATTTGCAGGAACCGCGCTGAAATATTTACCTTTTTTTAATTCCAATTCATCGCTTTTCCGTGGTTTGTATGGATAAAGTGCGAGATAACCCCAAGGTAAACTCGGTGGTATATGCTGTTGCACAACACTGGTTTTCAAAACATTCACGCGTTGTTGCGTATGCTGCGGCGGCAGTTGCTGCTTTTGTTGCATCTGTTGGGTGTGTATTTGTTGTTGCTGCTGCTGTTCTCGTGCGATCGTGCTTTGCGGCACCGCTGCGTTCGCAGCATTAATAACTTCTTGTACTTCCGCACTGCCGTCGCACGAAGTATGCCGCACAATATCTGCTGAATTTGTTTCTGTGGGTACGCTTAAAATTTCCGCTGAATGACGATTCGATTGCAGTATGCTTAGTGTTGCGCCTGTGCCCAAACCTGTGTGCAAGTTGCCAGCTGAGAGGAGAGCATTTAGAGAATGACGCTTTTCACGTTTATCGCGAAAGCGTACTGAGCTGGACCCACTGACGATATTGAGGTTGGAACTTTCATGCTGCGGTGAGGGCGGCATTGACTGATTAGGACTGCTGGGCATCGATGTTGAGTTTACGCCACTGTTGATGCCGACACAAGCCATACCACTATTTGACGCTGTGGTTGTTGTTGTAGTGCTAACCGATTGCGGGCTAGTAGCGCTCGATGAGGAATTCGAAGCTGATGCTGATGAAGTTGTTGATTCGCTATTATTGTTATCGATTTGTGGCATTGGCGGGGGATTTCGTAGCTGGTGTGGTATTATTTGTTTACCGCTGTTTGTAGCTGATGCAGAATAGTTGGCGGCTAATGCTGCTATATCTATAGCTGGCGGGGCAGTCGATACTGCCGTTGACATATTGCTTACCAAGTAGGTTGCTTCAAGCACCTGTTTGGCAAGTGCATTCAATTCAACAAAGGCGATAGGGAAAATACCAATTGAACTGCCAATACAACCCTCTGCCCAATTATGATCCACACGTCGCAAAACATGTATAAGAGTACCCTTTTTAAATGTCAGACAACCTTGCTCCTCATTCGGCGGCATTTTAAAATCATATAATGCAATACATTGCGGTGTTGGCAATGGTACAACAACTTGCACGTGATTTATGGGGAAAGTACCCTCTGAAATGAAGCCGTTGCCGTTATTAAGCTGTCCCACGTACCAATTACTGTCGATTTTGCGCTTTAGCAACACCAAATCGCCTTTCTTAAAATGCAAATCGGACGGTTCAGATGATTCGAAATCATAAAGTGCATAAGCGTGTGGCAATAAACAACGTCGTTGTTGTAAAAAATGTTGTGGCAGCTGTTGGGCACCACCATTTATGCTTTTACTGACTGGCAGTAACTGCTGCTGTTGGATTTGGGTATGGTCAACTGTTTGGTGTTGTTGATGTTGCTCATAGTCGTTGACGTTTCGTATATCCGGGCTGGATTTGGAGGTGTGTGGCTTTTGCTGTTGTTGTGTCTTAATAGCGGCTGCATTTTTCATGCCTAGAGTTATTGAAATGACAAATGATATTATTTTATATTTGACAGTTTCACTCACAATACAATTATTAATAACATGATTTAAAAAAATAATATAAAATCATTGTACGCACAAACATAAATATACGAATTTGCGGTAAAACAAGTATTGCTATATTCGCATAGTTATATCATAAATGGTAAATGGATTTTATTTAGTAAATATGTAGTTATTACTGTGCAGTCATCATTTATATTTATTATGCGTATGCCTGTGTCAGGTAGCTTTCTATTACTTTATAAGTACACTAGTGAAAAATATAGGCAAAAAAACATTAATTTCGATTACATCGTTGTTAGAATACCCTTCACAAAAAAAAATGTCCATACAAGAGCTTGATTTTGATAGTTCAATTTGTATGGCAGCTATATGCTATAGTGGTTCGGCCAAAAAAAATTCTAGGAATATAATAGTATTTGTTTGGGCGGTTTTCGAAAGTCTCCAAAGCTGAAGCTATCTTGACATATAAACAACAAGCACTGTTCAGGGTATAAATATACTTCAACTATGCACATTGAATATAATTCAGATATTAACTAAACAAATTTCTTTACATGCATGCGTGTTAGTTGTTATTACCAAAGTAATTCTGTCGTGCGTGGGTTGATTTCATCGCGCAGATATTGAGCAAGTCTTAAGGCCCTCATGCTAATATGAGCGCCTTTACAAACAAAATTTACAAAGCGTGCATATATTTATACTATATATTAAAAGAATTTAATTATATGCATGCATGTATGTATGTACCCACCTTCTAGTATCCGCATTAAGAGTACGTTTGGTGGTAAATCATCTATTTTTACTTCAACTAACACACGACATTCCGGACATCGCAGCTCTTGTCGACTGGACACGATCACCTGTGAATTACAAACAACGATATAAAATCATTTTTACATGCATACGTTATTCTGAAGTAAATCCGACAAAGGCATGTTACCTCTAAGCATTTCCGACAAAATGTATGTTGGCAGGGTAACACCTTCGACGAAGTATCCAAACGATCTAAACACACAGAACACTCCAACAAATCATTTAGTGTATGTTCATCCATTTTAGGCACTATTTGTTATATCAATTATTTCAACTATTTAAAACTTTAAGATAATTTCATATTTTACAAATATGTTTTTGCTTTATTATTTATGTATGTGCATACATTTACATACGCATGCTACTAATTCAAGGATAGTAGGTTTAAATACATTTCGTTTCGATACACTAAATCTAACTGATCGCAGCACATTCCATTCCAATGCCTTAACTGAGTAATGATCACCGCTAGTACAACTCAATTCTGGTAATGCTCGACAAGTTCGTTGCGTTTGATGTTATTGCTGTTTTCGTTTGACACCTAGCACTTCACAAATCGCCCTATACAGATACATATATACACATATTGAGCAAATGCATTCCGCGACAACCGAGTCAAGTGAATGGGCGGAAAATACACACACTTGTGAAATTAAAGCCAACTTGGTAACTTATTGCTTTGCTTCCGATTCGAACCAATTCAAAAGAAACTATACGCAAATACATTAATTTCTGCTTTAACTACATCTATTTTACTATTTCACTAAATGTCTTATTTAAAATGCATTTCCTCTTTAATCTAATAAGAGAATTAAGTTCTCAAGCCATGATGGTATTTACTGCAAATGTCAAATAGGAAAACTATTGGAATTTATGCAAATTGTGGTATGTTCAATGAAAGCTCTTTTATATGAAAATTCGAACCAAATGTACCTTGCATATTTCAATGAGGTGTCATATGCAATTAAGCGAAAAATGGTAACCACTACAAGAATATAACAAAAGTTATTTTAGTAAGAACTAAAAAAAAAGTATTATATTGAAAGTATGAATCCATTGCGTATATGTAATTTATAAACTATTTAGAAAGCAATCCATGTGTCTTGCATCACTGGTTTCTGTTTACGTTGTATCTAGTAAAAAGGAATTGAGAAAAGTCTCCAAAGTAGGAAAGATTCAAAAACAGCTGCGTTCAAAGCATAACCTAAAAGTTTCCTTTCAAATATTACACACGCTGTGTCGTGTTTGGGTTTTTTGTGCATTATTTACCTTTCTTTGTTTATTTTTCAAACCAATCGGTTTATAAATACATATTTTCGCTATAATTTAATAAATAAAATTAAGCATAATGCCGAAAGTTCGAAGTGCATCGGGGCCGCCGCGAAAGCAAGGCTTTAACCACTCCAATCACTCCATGAATCCAGAGCGGCCAAAATCTGGGTTGAAGGGAGTAGCCAATCCTCGAACACAAGCTACAATTAAACGACTGCAAATGTATCGCAACTTCAAGGCAAAGCGTGATCGTAGAGGAAAAATTATCACACCAGCACCATTCCAGGTATGAATGCCTTAAATTTTATTAATAAATTAGCTAACATATTCTCCATAGGGACGTTTGCCATCTGGCACCATGGCGCGAGTGGAACCCTCACCAAAATGGTTTAGTAACTCCAGAGTTATATCACAAAATGCGTTGCAAAAGTTTCAAGATGAGATTGGCAAAGCAGTGAAAGATCCATATCAAGTAATAATGAAGCCGTCGCAGTTGCCTATAACGCTGCTTAATGAGACGAGCAAGTATAAACGCGTTCATTTATTGGATACGGAAAGTTTCGATACCACTTTCGGCCCTAAAAAACAACGAAAACGAGTAAACTTGAAAGTTCGCGATTTGGAAGACTTGAGTCGTAGCGCAGAATTACAGGCAGATAATTATGATGAAACCAAAGATGTTGATTTAGTTCGTGAAGAGACCGGCGAAAAAGCTGCACAACGCGATTGGATATTTGCTGCGGGACAGAGTCGTCGAATATGGAATGAATTGCACAAAGTGGTTGATGCATCTGACGTTTTACTTCAAGTACTTGACGCGCGCGATCCCATGGGCACACGTTCCAAATATATTGAACAATTTCTACGCAAAGAGAAACCGCATAAACACTTGTTCTTCATTTTGAACAAAGTCGACTTGGTGCCTGTGTGGGTCACTCAGCGTTGGGTTGCTTTACTGAGTGCGGAATATCCTACAATTGCTTTCCACGCGTCAATGCAGCATCCTTTTGGCAAGGGTTAGTATTTACAGTTGCAATGCAGACAATGTGTTTCCTAAGTAATTATTTTGTTTTTGTTTTTTCCAATAGGTGCACTTATAAATCTTTTCCGCCAGCTAGGCAAACTGCATATGGACAAAAAGCAGATCAGTGTTGGTTTCATTGGTTATCCGAATGTAGGCAAATCTTCCGTTATTAATGCGTTGCGTTCCAAAAAAGTGTGCAATGTAGCGCCCATCGCCGGCGAAACAAAAGTATGGCAGTATATTACTTTGATGAAACGTATTTTCCTCATCGATTGCCCTGGTGTGGTTTATCCCTCGGCAGAAACTGACACCGAAAAGGTTTTGAAAGGTGTTGTACGCGTTGAATTGGTCACAAATCCTGAAGACTATGTTGATACAGTTTTACAGCGTGTGCGTAGGGAATATATACAGAAAACATATAAAGTTGAGAGCTGGACTTCATCAATAGACTTTTTGGAGCAGTTGGCTAAAAAATCTGGAAAATTATTGAAAGGTGGCGAACCTGATATTACGGTGACTTCACGTATGGTATTGAATGACTGGCAGCGTGGAAAGTTACCATTTTATGTAGCACCCGAAGGTTATGAAACGCCTCATTCCCAAGCTAATAAGCCACAAATCACCAATGAAACTGAAAACTCTGGTCAACAAGATGCTGAAGATGCCAAATCTGACGCGCCTACATTTGTAAGTGAGTCAGTTAAGAAGGCGAGAGAGTTCAAACAGCTGCAAGATTTCCGCAAAATTAAAGTTGGTATTGAATTTCAAGCTGATGACGTACGGGAGTTGGACAAAATTGATGTAGAATTACTGGAAAAACAGAAAGCCGAACGTTTGGAGCGTAAAAAACAGCGTTTGCAAAATTCCGACGACGAAGAAGAGTCGAGCGATGGCGCCAGTGAATTCTACTCTGAAGACGAATATGTTGAGGATCTGGGACGTATCGTCCACAAGAAAGCCAATATCAAACGTAAGGCAAGTGTGGCGATAACCGCTTCTGGAAAGTTCAAAGTGGAGCCTGATGTTGGCGAAGAAAGTGATAATGAAGGCAAACAACCTGCAGCTAAAAAACGTTTAACCGCGAAAGAAAAACGTGCTTTAGAGCGAAGTTTGAAACGCAAAAAGATTGGCACTAATTTCTACGAAGTATCCAATGTGAAAAATCGTAATAGAAATAAGAAACATGAGCCATGATGTAAATAAAATGTGAATGTTACGCCTCCAACATATTGTTAAAACCTTCAGAATGCAAAATAAATTTTATTTTTACCATGAATATTGGTTTATTACTTTCATATTTGGATTAGTTGCTCTTCTTCCTTTTATTACTGTTGCTGCTGGGAAAGTAATATTTTCAAAATTTTCGTATAAAACAGGCGATTGCTAGACCAGATTAGAAGAAAAACACCCAACATTATGTGTGGATTCATTAAATATGTTATAACGGCAACTACAAATTTGTAGTGGGTATAGAATTTGCACAAGTATGTATAACGCAATCGATCATATAAACGTTTAAAGATACTCTTACTACTTAAGTCTAAAATATTGTAATCAATCATCATCTTGGCAATTCTTCTTCTTTTGCTTTTTACGCCCCATCAAATCGTACTTGGCACTAATGTCATTTTCCGGCTCTTCTTCGCTGCCGCTACTTAGTTCAGAATCACTGGACTCAGTGTAGGGTCCAATGCCTGGTAATATCGCGACACACTTTAGCTGTCCTTTATCAAATTTATCTGTATTAATGCTGGTTAATGTGTTAAGTTTAGTAGTGTTGGTTGTAGCGCAATCTTTGCCTATTTTTGCATTTGAAGAACCAGCAATTTCACCATTTTTTCGCTTAATACCAACTCCAAGTAAAGACTTTTGCGAAGGTCTTGCAGCAGTTGTAGTGGTTGGCAGTTTCGCAACCTTTCCGGTTTTAATTTCCGATTGAAGTTTCTAAATAAATAAATTTTGAATAAAGTTAAGTGCTGCTAACTATATATAACAATAAATATTGTATATAATTACTTTATCAGCAGTTTCCTCCTGTAACGTTGCTACACGGTCTCGGAATTCTTGCAATTCCTTCCGTTCCTCTTGAATCTGTTTCTTTTCAGCATCAATCTTGTTTTGGTCGACTAACTCAAGGAACTGTACTTCATCGTCATCTAGACCACGTATTAAGTTTTCTAAATTTATTAAAAATTCAATTAACTTTAATTTATATAGCGTTTATTTGCACTAACTTAATTTGTGAGCTTCCTCATATTCCAAGTCTTTTTTCATTTTCTGTTCCTTTAAGCGATCGAAAAGTGACCGCCCGTCATATGGTTCCTCAGGACGTTCTAAGTTTGATTATTTTAAATTTAGTTTGATTAAATTAAATTAAAGGTATTTTTTTTTTATTATAATTTTTGCATTGTTGCATTGTGCATACCCAAAGGCTGGTCTGCCGTGCGTACTTTTTCCCATTCTTCTTGACGTCGTTTGCGTGCTTCTACAGCTTCAGATTCTGTCACAAAACCCGAACTCATGATCGATGTAATAATTTTATTCTCAAATTAAATGTTGTTCGCAATAGATTTTATAAAGATTAGTTTATTACAAACATGCAAGAAATATCAAAAAATTATTTGACGTAAAGTTGGAGATAGACGTCAAAATCATATCCACAATTTAGGTCTGCGTTCACTGTTAAACAATTGGAGAGATGCAACGATAAATGAATATATTTCGGAACTTGTCTTAATAATCATATAAAATCTTACAAATATAAACAAAACATTCATAGCGAATTAATTTAGAACTAGGGCAGTATTTTTCTGCAGCGAACTGATTTTCAATATCATTTATATCTGATTTCATCGATGTAAATTTTTGTGCAGTACAAATACAACACTGTGTACCCAATACGAAATTGTTCGGTGATTTTTAATCCAATTGCATTTATTGGCCAGTGTTTGCCAGTATTCATTCGGTCGTTGGGAGAATCATACGTTCGTAAAATTCGTGAAGTGGATTTGAAAGTGCGGTATTTGGACGCTACACATTGAACATAGTGCCCACTGTAGTACAGCTACAGTAATCGGTATTTACATACAAAAACAACAATAAGAAATATTGATCGGTTGTGATCTGTGAGCACAAAAAAGCAAATATGGCCGCCACTTGTTGGATGTCGAAGATTGTTTGATGAACGGAAAGTGAGAAAAGTATGAAATACTTCATTTCTTCGTTGGGGAAATGATAGCGTGTATACAAATTAGGAAGGTAACGGCGAGTTTATGTAAAATATGAAAGTTTCCATTACAAGAAAAATTTCTAATAGCGTGAAAAATGAATAGATAATATAAAGTGCATATCAAAAATATGAAAGATCATAGAATGAATAAAGTAAAACCAAAGAAACGAGCTACGAAATAAGGAAAAGGAAGACGCGCAAGTGCAGAGAGTTTGTGTTAAATTAAATAAGAAATTATTAATGCAGAAAAGAGTGTTGGGGAAAGATAAATGTGCAAAGTGTTAAAAACGAAT